TATCTATATTATCTTACAGGCCAGTGGGAGTTTTGTTGCTGTCCCCAAATAATAAGATTGTTTACATCCAAATATCTTTCTTATATTACAGAGAAATTGTTATTATTATGCTGTAAAGCCAGAGAGGTTCACTGGCAGCCTAATCTGCTACAAATTTAGGAGCCCTCAAAAGGACATCAGTTGCATAAGGTAGAGAGGTTCAGACTCCTGTAGTTCTCTTGACCTTGGGTGCTGGAGCAAACACGATGCTGCCTGGCAGCATCCCCAAACCACTCCCTAGGAAAGCCTCAGGCAGCTTGGCAGGTCCCATGGACGAGCTGTCCTGGACAGACTCTCTGAGTGGCTCCTGTGACTGCTTATACAAATGATATTTAACGTATGGGATTGCTGGGGTACAGCCTTGAGCTATGAAGCACATCCATGGTCTTGTAGGCTTTAAGGCTTCACCAGTGCTACTAACTCAGCTATTTTGCATAGGAAAATGTCTGCTTGGATGCACAAATGAGACTGAGAGGGAAGCACAGAAAAGGAGCCTGTAAGCAGAATGCCCCCCTCCACAGCACTTTTAAAAAAACATCCTGTGCTCCATGAGCGGTGGATATCAAAGGATACCACTGGTATGCATCACTGCATCAACTAAGTACAGGGAAGTTTGAATAAAAAGGGGAACAAGTTTCAACTATCTATTCTACTTAATTGTTGGGTAGTTTGGCTGTTGATTTCCCTGCTCCTCCTGCTTAGCAGCTCTGCCCTTGGTGGCTTCTCAGATGCCCTTGGTGGCTCTCTCCTAGTGGGACTTGCCCAGCCCAATCCAACTTGAACAGGAAAGTCACTCAGTTTCTGCTTCTAATTCCTTCCGTGCGACAGACTGTCTTTGCATGGGAGGCACTGGAGGGTGTAAGTGAAGGGAATTAAGGCCATGAACAGCAGCCTTTCACATTCAAGATGTGCAGTTGTTATGAAAGAGATGAGCCATGGCGTGGGTGCGGCCCACGTGCTCCAGATCAGGTGTACAGAAACGCTGTGATCCAGCAAACGCACCCAGTGGTTGCACATAACTGACAAATGCTCATTTAATTAATGGGGTGAAGTGAAAAAAAGATCAGACCAAATTCAAAGTGACAGAGTCATGAACTGACAACTAAACCATAAAAACTGACAGGACAAATAGATCTAAAGGGAAGATTTATGTGGAAGGTGGAGGGAAGCATCAGTTACTGGGGAAATTGTTCCAAACCCTGAGGGACATTTTGAGAGCATATGTAGGTACATGGGCTTGCTCCCAGCCACGTGGTGTCTGCATTGCAGCAAGCTCTGTGCTGTGTCATACAGATGAAAAACTAATCCTCTTCTAAGAGAGGGATATTTAGTGGGTGGTTATCTCACTGGAATCTCTTAATGTCCACCCCTGGGATGGGCATGGGTGCAAAGCCACAGACAGAACACACCAATGACTGATTTCATTCCTTTCTGTATCAGAAAAATTGAGGAGGGTTTATAATCTCTTAATTTACAGATTTTTTTAGTTGATACTTAAAAACTCCCCCAAATGAGTCAATACTTTCTTGTACTCAGCAGTGACCAGGTCAGTGCCAAAGCCCTACCAGGCAGTGTCAGCACAACTCAAGGAGGTTCTCATCTGGAGCTTGGCACCCCTCCATAGGTGTAGGGTTACTTCAGCCCCATTTCCTTCTGCATGGCTCTGAGTGCTTCCCCCAAGGACAGTAAGGAACAGCAGGCTGCCAGGGTGTCCACATTTCAGTGCCTGCCGTGATGCAACAAAGGGCTGGGCTCCTTCCCATGGCCAAAGTCACCATCTGATACACCTGCACCTCACGGCTATCCCGAGCAAAACTTAACCCAAACCCCTTAGAGTACCCCTCTCTTTCCTAATGTGTGCCTGCCACTGATCCCTGCTGTCAAAGGCACAGATTAAATGTCAACAAGCTCTCCACAATTGATATTAATACTGGAAATGGTCAGCTGGGGACATGCCTTCTAGGCCACTGGAGGACAGAGACCTGAGTCACCTCGAGCACTGCTCAGTGCCATACATTCACAGATCCCTGGCATTTTGAACAGCCCTTCTATAGCAGGGAACAACACTGGAGATAGTTGAAAACCCAAATAAGATGTTGGCAAGTGCTCTGTGCAATTAGAAAGAAGGAGGATTGTATGGAGCACAAACAAGTCTCAGGACTGAATGCAACTGGATGCTCTCTCAAACTTCTAGGGCTGAAATGCTTGTGATGATTCCAGAACTGCAGGATTATAACAGTGGATATTCACTGTTTAAACATTTAAAAGCTATACATTATCACTCTTAGTGTACCTCCAGTGGGTCTCCCACATGCATTACAGTGCCTGGTGCTGCTATTGACAAACTCTGAATGTATTTCCATGAGCAAATTGTGTAACACAATAGGAGCAGCTCTAGAGAGCCCAGCACAACTCCTTATACTCCTTTTAGGGCCCTCTCTCTGGAGCAGCTTTGGCTCCATGGCAATTATCCATTAGCAGTGGGGATGCGCTAGATGTGTGTTAGGATCAGAGATGCAAGATATATACCCTTATCTGTGATGCCTAACTCTGACACCCAAGAAAGCACTGAATTTCATATAGCACCATGGAGACAACTGTTAGAGTTAAGTAGAGAAACTGAAAATGTAAGTGTGTAAATTAGAAAGTTTTCTTAAGTCACTGGGTGAAAAAGTTAAAGTTTGGGGTTTAAACTAGTTTAGAGAACAGAAGACAAGATGGCGGATTTAGGGTGTTGTCTCTTGTCCTTCTTCTTTCTTCTTTATTTTCTTCTTCTAGAGGTTTTTGGGTATTAGTAGGTGGATAGAGAATGCTGCAGTGCAGCTCACAGGTGTTGGGTCATTGGGTCACTAAGAAAAATAATTTACTTGACATCTGTTAATTGGGTAAATAGACATATAAAAGACCTTGAAGAAGATCTTTGTTAGCCATTTTGTGCCTTTCTATCTTAGTGCACATAGCTCCTTGTACCTTGTATACATGTAATGCAGATAAGAGAAGACTAAACAACCAAATCCAAACAAGAGAAAACTGCCTCCCCCTCTCATCAATTTCAGTTCAAGGGGAGAAAGAACCTAACCACGAGTGCCCTATAGAGACAGATGTGCACATGGGGCTCAATCTTCTGTGTCTAGCTGCATCTAAAAGGTGTCTAGCTACATGCTAAAGTACGGTGAGTATGAATAAAAGATTTGCAGTCCTTAACTGAACTATACCAATAGAACAGATGAACCCTCTTGTCACAGAAACAAATGTTTTTCCTGACTTTTTTTCTCCTGTGATTTGCCTTGTTTTTCTCCTCCTGTTTTCAGTATGCTGCCCACCTCTGCTGTTTGGCATGACACCATGATGCTGTATCCAAAGCAGTTTCCTGGCTCCATTTAGTCTGCCCTTTAGTATGTGGCACATCCTAATTTTTCATTTCTTAATCAATCTCCATTTTAAGTCTAAGCAATTGGACATCAATGAAGACATAAGAATAATATTTCAGATGCTCTCTGGAAAATCTGCACTGGTTTGAGCTCTGAAATAAGCTGTAAACTGTAGCTGTAGGTCTTTGAGGTGGGGTTCTCACTTAGGAAGAGGATTGCTGGAGGGGAGACAGTTCGCTATCTGCAGCAGGGATTCCTACCATCAGCAAATTCCTCATTCTCCTGGATCAATCACCTCATGGTCAGTCAAAAGGTAGGAAGGGGTATTCTGGCCCCATGGAATTAGGAACTGCTGTTTGCACTCCTGCAGCCTAACTGCTGTTCCCTGTGGGAATAGAGATTAAATTTGTCCCAATGGCTTAGCAGAACTCCTGTATCTGCCCTGTTCACATGCTTTCAGGAGGACATTTTGCGTCACTCGTAGCCGCTGTTCTCCTCTTTTGTTAGGCTATTCTCTCAGGATTTATATGCTGTGTAGAAGTTTTGTTTCACATCACAATGTGTTTATGTGCAGGTCAGGAAATTAATCAGCCGACTATCTGAACAATTAAAACAATTTTGGCTAGCCTGGCTTTGCTTTGATACTGGGTTTGGGTTTGTTGTGACTCATAAAGCTTTTGGGGCCATCAACAGCACTGATCACACTCTCTGAAGAGAGGAAAAATGGGTTTACCAAAGAGCTGCCAAGTGTTGGCCTTGTGCTGTACAAATGGGTGCTGTTTGTTACCAAAGCATCTTCTCTAATGATCAACACTGCCTTCAACTAAGGAGCTGTTCTGCTCCTTCAAACGCCCCTTAATCCCCTCACTTGAAGAAGCCCCATTCATCAAATTAAGCTGGAGGACAGAAGATGCCTTGTCTGAAGCTGGCTTAATCCGTACACAAATTGGGTCACATGGCCTTTTATCAATAAGCACTTGGTTGTTGTCAAACCAGCAGGAAGCAGAGCATGAGGGTCAGGCTTTCTGCTGGAACCAGGCTGTGCCTGACTTGCTGCTGCCCTCTGCTGCCTCCAGAGCTGCCGTGGCCAGGGCAAGCCTGTGCATCCCACCAACACAGCACAGGGGTGAGGCACTGTGCCTTCCCACTCTGCACATCCCTGAGCTATGACTCAGTCCAGATGCTCCCTGCAGCCCAGACACATTTCTACTCAAGTCCCTGGGCAAAATGCTTTTCTACATTCATAAGAAAATGGAGCGGCAGACTCTTGCCAGCAATGCCCACTGATGGGACAAGAGACAATAGGAACCAAGTGATTAATGTGTCCATCTGAACAGAAGAAAACAATTCTCTTTTTTCCCATGAGGGGTGTCAAACACTGGCATAGGTTGCCCAGGAATATTGTGGAGTCTCCTTCCATGGAGATATTCAAAACCCAGTGGGGCAGTGCTCTCTCACTGGCCCTAAGGGGTTTGGACTAGATGATCTCAAGGGGTCCCTTTCAAACTAAATGATTCTGTGACTATATTATGCATTATATGATATTATTAAGTGTTATACAAAAGCAGATATTGTTGAAAGCCTGTCATGAAATAAGTAAAGCCATCAGCTGTAAATGTTTGCAGGCAGTTTAAGTGTAATCCAAAGGCTCTTCTGTTCTGCCCATCACAGAAGAAAGAAACGCACCTTTTTTACAACTCCTGTAGTGGCCACGATGGTCTCTGCTCCTTCTACAGTCTTGTTTGCTACTGTGTTCACGCTGGCTACTACAGCTTCTCCCACCACATTGGCCTGCTCTTTGGTCTTCTCAGCAACTACAGTTTCAACAAAAGCAGAAAAGTCAGCAAACTAGACAATGCCAGAAGGCTGCCAAATTCCCTGGGATGACAAATTGATTGCATTGATGTAAAAGAAGAAATTAGCCCTGGTGCAGTCCTTGTTTGGATTTTTTAGATGAGATCATGTCTGAATTTAGATTGTGTATGTGAGGATTTTTGTCTGGCACAAACTGCTGCTTAGAAAGCAGCACTGCAGCCTGTCAGTCTTTGTGGGCAACTGGAGAACGAAAAATTCACAATTAGTCAGATACTAAGAGGCAACAGTGTAAATAAGGTATTTTGCATTGCAGACTGTGCATGACCTCTTCCAGGTTATCTTCTGTTTGTTTTAATACCCCCTGGCAGAAAAAAGCAATGGTTATGAAATTCTCCAGGTGGAAAGGATCATTTTCCTTCAGGACAGTCCATATGGCTTCTCTGCCTTGGAGTTGGGGATACCCTAGAAGGAACCCTTTGGGTCCTTGACTCTGCAGCTGCCTGGCAGGACTCTTTCAAAGACCACAGTTTTGGCCAGATGGGATCTGATGCAAGTAAATCCTCCCTGTGTGCTGGGCTGTGCACCTGACATTGTGAAATGTCTAAATTGCTGTGAATCATCCCAGTCTGCCAAGTAACCTTTGTTAGATTTTTTTCTGACTTACACTACTGATTAAATATTTTCTCCCATCTGTGTGCACTGCAAATGCCAGACCCTGAACCATCGCTCCTGGCAAGCAGCCCCCATTCAGGGGCTGGCAGTGGGAAGGTCAGGCAGATCAGCAGTGTCCCACAGAGACCTCCCACTTGGCAGGGGTGATGGCCTTCCCAAGAGGTCTGACAATCACCACAGATTTCCACATCCTTCTCGGGCTGTGCTCTTACCTGAGGTCACACTTTGCACTACGCCCTCCTTGGTCTTGGTGCCTGTGAAAGGAAACATAATCCATCAGTGCTGCCTGGAAATTACACCCAGATATCTGGACACAGATGGCTTCCTGCTCCGAGGAAGTGCAGCGGAGAGCTGAAGTGCTGCTGGTACCTCCTGCTCAGATACAAACCATTTGTAGAGTCAGAAGAGACCCTCCCCAGTAAAGCAAATGAGTACCTTTGTGTTGAGAGTTGGAGAGCTTCAACAGCAAATTCTCTGGAGATGCCTAGACCTGGAAAATCTTAATTATGAAAAATTGTCCCTGCAATATTTCCAAAATGAGCAGTTGAGTGGTGGTAAAGCAACTTTAAGATAGTTGTAAAAATGATGGTAATTAAAATCACCTGGTAATATCTCACTTACTTCACTCCTGCAAGACAAGAAGCCACATCCATGTCTTTGGCCTTTCAGCCAGGATACTTGGCTGCAGTGGTCATTTAAAAGTCTCATTCTATACCACTGATAAAGACTCTAAAGAAACCTGAGACTGAATTTACAGAACTGCCTACTGCATACCTACTTACTAGATTCACAGTTTGGTGCCTCAGCCTAGGCTGTAAGTGCCTGCTCACAGCAATACATAGAAAGCAGATGGTTTTATCTCAAATTATGAAAATACACCATATGTATGCTTATATTGTAATTTATCTTGCTGTTCTCAATGTAGAAAAGCTAACAGGATGTGAAGGCATTCAGTTTGCAACACAAACAGCCCTAAGGAATAATTAGTCTCTGTGATTTTTCTCCACGCTTGAAGTGACAAGCAATATATCCCTTCTACTTGATACTGCTGCAGATAAGTGAAATCAAATGGTACATTGTCAGCCTCCATGGTAGCTAGGAGCTTTACACATTAAAAAAATGAAGGATCAAATTTATCTCTCTTAGAACTTAAATAAACACAAGCCAAAATATTCCACTGGACCCACTTTACTGTATCTTGCAAATCATCTGCACCTATACAGGTTCTCTTCAGGTTTCCCATACTGATACAAAAGGATTTTGTTCATACTGAACAAAAGGATTTCTATGGCCAACTATCAAAATTATAATAATGGACAACAACCAGGCAGATTTTTGACTCCATCATAGTGGAGCATCCATGGGTGTGGTGGGAGAAACGAGCTACAAACCACAACTCATTCTCATTAACAGCCACAGAAGCAGAACAGGTGCAGTGCTGTGATAACAACAGGTCCAGCCCAGCTCTGCTGTGCCTGATACATGTTATTGTATTTTTGAATGTAATTCTCAATTGTTGATTTATTTTGGTGGTTGCAATGCTTGCCTGGGGCAGAACAAAACTGTTCTACTACAATATGCCCTCAACATTTCACTCCACCCTCCCAAACTGTCTTAGAAGTCAATAGATGAAATTTTTGTATCTTTAACTTGTTACTGCTGTAAACTGCAGCTCCTGGTGATGCACATGATACATGTGCACTGCTGTGAACTGGATTTAATAATGGTGTCCATGACACACAAATGTCTGCAGGAGGACAGCACTGAGCAGGGCAGGTGCAAGTCTCAAGCCATGAATGTGAGCCCCTGAATGGGCCAAACACCCAAGCTTCAATTCAGAAACTATTCTACTTCGTTTTCCCTCCCAGAACCATTCCAAGAAAAGACTGCCACAATATTGATGTGACATACAAGGTTGTCTTATATCAGACTCAGATGCTCAAGCTTAGCCCTTTGCTGGTTTTTGGTCAAACAGCAGTTGATAGGTAAGGCAAAGTACATCATCTGTACCAGCCTTTCATGCCTTTGCAGTTTTCCAGTAAATACACTTACTGAGACAAGAGCTGAACTTTGGTATGTTTTTTCCCATGTTTTTAAGGTGACTATCTGGGCTCAATTCTTTTATGGGGGAGGGGAGTAGGCAGGTGCTATATTTACAGATGGAAAATGATTCCAGAAAGGAGAGATGCAGATAGAGGGAAAACATCCGAATCCATTTCATGACAGAAGCAATGTCACTGGCAAGAGCCACTGCTGCAGCCTGGGGAGAGCTGGCCTCATCCTCCCAGCCCAGCCACACCCGATGACTCAGGCTCCCATCCATTATGCACCGCATGAAACCCGACCTTCCGGCGCACACTCCTGCCAGCAACCCGCATCTGTTGAATCAGAAAGCAATCACCTGATGCTCAATCTCGTTTCACTCATTAGTCCTTGCCTGCAGCTTCTGTACCCAGAATTAAAAGTTCATGCATCCTGCCTCTTCTGAGTGCCGTGAGTCATCAGCGAGAGCTTTGGGACTGCCAGGGTGGGACCGAGGTGGTGGAGTGCTATGCCCTGGGAGAAGTTCTAGACCAGAAAGGGATATTTTGATGTGCATTAAGTCCTGCAGGAATCACTCAGCTTAAATACAGCTCGGTGTATTGGGGCTTTCTGCAGCACACACGGCTGAAAATCATTCTGGAAAACTAGAAGCGCATTCTTTGTTGAGGCTTCCTGAACCATAGCATTACACAGTACTAATGACTTGATACTCTGATGTGGCTTTTCATTAATTTCATTAATTAACTTCAGCATCACTAACACCCCTATTCAAACCAAATTAAAAGAGACAGCCCACTGAACCAACTGCTGGATCCCCACTAACCACGCAGGGATCTCCTGACACTTGAGCACACTCAGAGGCTGTGAGAATTTGGAGAGCAGATGGTGATTTCACCAAGGGCAAAGGTGACCCACGATACAGGATTTCTCCCTCTCTTTTTGTGCGCTCTCTTCCCTACCTGACCGGTTCAGCAAGGCCGGCAGCAGGGCAGGAGCACCGCATTGCAGGCTCAACACAGGAGGGAGGCATCTCCTGCTCTGCCATGGGCTCTGGGAGCTGAACCTGTATGGATCAGAGAGGTGGCCACAGTGTCCCAGTGATGCTGTTCAGACAGATGCCTCTGAGTGAGCATTATTTTCTTCTCCTGGGTAGCAGCA